TTTTTTCGATAACTCAGCCATTTCTTGACGGATCCTGCTCATCTTCGAACTCGCCCGAGACATTGTTAAGACTGAACTGTGTGGAAAATTTCATTGCGATTGGACTCTCTTTTCAAAAGTTATCGTGTAAACGGCCGGCCGGCCGGACGGACATACTGACCGATTCTAGAGTGTACTCACTTTTTGAGTACACAAAAAAGAAGATTTCATTCGAAAAAAATATATTCATTTTTCAAAAAATACTAAGTGTATTTTTCAGAGCTTGGTGAATTATGTTTACCAATGAAAAAGAATTTTTCTTCTAAATTTCTTGAAGATTTGAAACGTTCATAAAATACATACTGTATATACTATCAATGAAAAATTTATTTGAGATTTTTATGTGAATAAAGTTTTAGGGCATAATTCGAAAATATGATCTTGCTGTAAATGTAAGATCTTTATTGTGAAAATTAATTAAAAATATCTTCTATACTTAGACAGAGCTCATAAAAATGAACTCTATTTTATGTCAGACATACTTCACTGAGATTTACAAGATGCACTAATTAACAACTAACAAGTTAACTGATACCTAGAAATATTTTCCCCGTAAGTTCGAAGTAAAAGGATATTTTGTTTTGAAGATTTTCAAAACAAAATATTCTTCTATATAATTAGTTGAATTTTCATTCATATAATTAACTTAGTTGTACTTTTTTAAGAAATTTAAGCACGTAATCATAAATCAAAGATGACTTTAGTGGTTATAGTTAAGTAGACTCAAGTCATTTCAATCAGGAAGAATACACATATGTATTTTGTCATTATTTGAAAGAGAAAACTCAAGATTATCATCGATTTGATAAACGTAATAAATCCATGAATCATAGAATTATATTAATTTATCAATCATAAAAATAAGCAGCCCAAATCATAAACAATAGAGTATATCATATGTACATAATTAAAACGGCAAAATACCAAATCTGAGTGATGGTTGACGAGAAAAGGCTAAAACATAATATTTTTTTTTCTTGTCGCTAAAAAATAAAATTCAGATAAAAATCACACAGAAAGCAAAGAAAAGAATGCCATTCGTTAAGTGATACGGTAGCGAAGGTACCGACCTGGCATTTGATGTATTGCCATTGATCGCGCTCGCGCAATGTTTGAACGAATAGTTGGGAGAAAGACAGAAACTATTGATATACATATAATTATATACAATAATCCTAATTGTCTATATCTATCTATAATATTCTCAATTTATTTCATTATATCATAACTTACTACCATGACTTGAATAATCTCCTGATCCATCATCAAAATCTGGTCTTGATTTTTCTCTTGTAATTTGAGCTTCACGTGAAGCTTTCCAACTCATTAAAAATTGTCGAGAATTATCTGTTATTTGTTTTCCATCAAGCATTTCTATTTTGTATTAGAATTATTATTAATATAATACAAAACAAAAAAAAAAATTTGTTTACCTAATGTTGTTGATACAACAATTAATCGTTCACGATAACGTGCTTTTATACACATTGGATTTCGACTTGTATCAAGTCGTTTCAAACGTGGCCATATACTTAAAAGTTGAATAAGTTCACGAAGATTTTCTAAATTATTATTGCTTGCTGTTAATTCTTCTAATCTGTTTAAACAACTTAATTCAACTAGTGAATCTAAATTATTGCCACTAACATTTATAACTTCTATAAAAAAGAAAGCAAACATTTTAGTTTTTTTTTATTCTGTTTAAAATATTTTACCAAGAACTTGTGATAAACATTGTAAAGTACGTGGTTCAAAAACAAGTTTTTCACCTTCAGGTAAACGTTGATTTTCAATATAAATTTCTTTTAAATGCATACATTTATCAAGACCTTCAAGAACTTGAATTTGATTACCACCAAGATATAATTTTTGTAATTTTGGACAATAATCTAAATGTTCTAATTTTTGTAAACGATTATTTTGTAAATAAAGATATGTTAAATTTTCAGCAAAATTTAAATTTTCAATTTTATTTAATATATTATCATAAAGATAAATTACTGTTAGTAGACGACAAGGTGGAATAGAATCCTAAAAAGATAAAAAAAAAACAAACAAAAGAATTAAATTAGAATAGATAAAATAATAATTAAACTAAAGTTTTAGAATAATTACAATAGAATCAATGCCTCGATTTTGAAATGGTAAATGAGTAAGACGTGAAAGATAATGTTCAACTGATTCATCAGCACGTCGTTTATTATGTCCAGGTGCTTGTTTAGCAATAAGATCAGCTGTTAGTTTTACCATTTTGAGTATTATTTAATGTGGAAAAAAGAAGAAACAAATTGTAAAAAAAATTAAAAAAAAAATTGACATCAGATATTTATTATCTGTTTGTTGCGAAGCAACGACCCTCAAATAGGTTCACAATTGGTTAAAAATAGAGCATTGTCATCGACTTTGAGCTCTTGATCGAAAGTACATGCTTTCTATTTATTGATTTTGAATTTTCTGTTTGACTATATATCATAAAAATTTTCTTTTCGAACATTAAAAATATCTTTCTACATCAAGTATAGAAATAAATAAGCATAGGCTTAGAGTATTATGGAGAACAAGTAGGATCCTACAGGTACATATGAAATTAATATCAAATGAATTGATCAAGCTGATACATTTTTTTTTGGCATTAAACTCATGTATTTTTTTCTTTTATTTTTCGATTCTTGTTAGTGCTTATTTGATAAGCTTTATCCATGTACTATAATGTAAATAGTTTTTGCTCATGATTGCTGAATTGTTGTGTATACATTATTTCCATCTTCTAATAGATATCTCACACAAAAAAAAATCTTATTTTAACTATAATACCAATTTTAAGAGAGAATATGGCAGGTAACATATTCACAAGTGAACGACTACATGTATGAGTACAATTTTTACATGAGTACTTTGTACGTGAGACTAATGTTTAGCCCATCATTCATGGTTAGAGATATCCTATTAGCATTAGTATTAAAGTTAATTCTAATGCTTTGATGTTCTTTAGTCTTACAATTATTTAATACAAAAGTGTTAATATAAATTAGCACTTTCTTTAAATTCTACTAGATGTACTACTACCAGTAACAAGACCTTTAAGAGTTCAAGCTTCATGGTTCGAATAATAGAACAAATTTGTTTTGTTTTGGACATTGTTTTTACGGATGCAAAAAAAAAATCCATTGCTCTGTTTTTGAGTAAACAAGTCAAAATGACAGAACATAATTGTTTTATTATTGGAAATTTTTAAACTGAAATCTCAGAGACCTAGCCGCTGATAGTAAGCCTTTATATAATTTAAAATAATTCTAATATCAAATAATACCAAAGTCTTAGGATTAATTTTAATACTAATACGACACCCATATTCATATTGGAATTCATTCTTACCAAAAAAAAAAGACAACATAAAAGGTATTGACTTGAACTACATATGTCATGAATAGTGGATAATATTTATTACTCAGCAGGTTCTAATACAATGATAAATCCGTGTTCTCATACTCTACATATGTAATGAAATTGATGCATTCAATTAGAACTGGTGAATATGTTGATAATGCTTTGAAGGTCTCCCTTCAAAAGAAGTAAATTTTTTCAAAAAAATAAAAATTAAGATTAAATGTGTCGAAAGATAGTACCAATGAACACCAATTTTTAGAGGGTTTTTTTGAGTCATTGATCTTGTGATGCCTTTTCTCTACTTAAAAAGTAAAACAAAAAGACTCTGTACTGCAGTGCATCCCGTCATGTTCTTTCAAGCAAAACATAATTATCGGTGCCCGTGTCTAATGGATATTTAATCGGTGCATAAAGCTTATATAGAATTTAAAGTTCTATGACGGTTGCTGTTCCCTGATTGATGCTCACAGGGAGAAAACTCGTCGACATAGTGATGATCCTATAGTTGTGAGCCAGAGCTCTTGCGTCATTACTGTGGGAATTAAGAGGCAGATATGACCGATTGAGGGTTTTATTTAACTTTCATATGATCATAAAAGTGCAGAATACTCACACCCTCTAACGATTGATCCATTCGCTGTTGAGTAATTATTTGTCTGTAAATTTATGTTTTCATTTTCTTTTTTTTTTTGATATTATTTAATTCATTATTAACACAATATGCAAAATGTTGATAGTAATGAAATAGCTCTTTTTTCTNTCTTCTGTCATTGGCACAGAATGTACAGTATGTGATTTGTTTGTACAAGTATCAGTTTCATCAAATTTTCTAATTCATACAAATTGTTCGAACTGTTCAAGAACTATTCAAGTTTTGTTTTTATGCCGAAGAACTTGTGAAACACTCTGTATTTTGGAAAATTATTCAAATTTTAGTTTCGACATAATCAATGGGAAGCCATTACTGCGGCTCTTCAACATCATGATTGTTTTATACTTATGCTAACAGGTAAGAATGATTTTACTTTGATATAACAAAAAATAAAGAATGTTTTTTGTTCCAAGATGGTGGTAAATCTTTATGTTATCAATTACCAGCTGTTCTTGATACTAGTGTTACATTGGTTTTTGCATCTTTACGTTCACTTATATTTGATCAAAAACAACGATTCCATTTCTTAAATATTTCATGTACAGCTTTAACATGAAATATTTCACAAGAAGAAGCTGATGGAATCTATCGTGAATCATAGAAAGATTTATCTGCATATAAAATTGTTTTTATCACACCGAAAAAAATTTCTATGAGTGTAAAATCATTTTCTATGCAGATAAAAGTAATTAATTTGTTTTTTTTCCTATTCATAGAGTCAATTGAATAATGTTCTTCGAGATTTATATAATCGTCAACTTTGAGCACTATTCGTTATTGATTAATGTCATTGTGTTTCGGAATGAGGTATGTTATCAGGATATTGATATATAAAAACAATTCATATACAAAACTATATATATATATATATCTATGAATAATTGATTTTGTGAAAGATGATCTAAAAGGAGTGTTGAAGCACCATAGAAGTAAAAATTTGAACTTCTTTGTAAAGATCGTGACAGACATTGATAACAATAAACCAGTTTCACTGTGATTAACAACAGTAACTGCATTCTATTTTACATTTTAGTTCCACAGGAATTGCGCTAACCGCTTTTTGAATACTGAAAAGACTGATAATATTTATCTTTGTTCATTGTAGTGAAGATATTGAGTTCACGTCGAGTCAGAAATATTGAAATCGTCGGAAACTTGTATCTCGATAACATATTGTTTCATTGGGAAATCCGAAGTTCTCTGCAAGTCTTCGTTATATATATTTTATTACAAGTCATGCGATTTAAATGCCGCTAGCTCAAAATCGATTTTGAGGAAACGAAGCCCTTTTAGTATCAAAATTTAGAATACGTAAATTATCTTGACTTGCAAACAGTAGCTTCTGGAATTTTTTTAAATACATTCCGATATTCATCTTGTCGCTAAACGGAAGGAATTACGTAAAACATCAAAAGTCAACTAAAAATGAAGAATGATTATTTCGAACTATAATTCTCTTCTGCAATATTTGAAATGCGTTATATGCTATCAATCAATAAATCTAATATTATTCAGACAGATAAATTCCACTACTTTGTTTTCAATGAAGAAGCTGCCATGACTGACGAGGAACCATTCCCTCGTGGATGTCTAAATTGTTTGATACATATTCCTAAAATACTGCATTTAAACATCCAAGTACCGAGTCTACTACTAAACAGCACCCCATACCAAATGGCAAGGGTATTTTTCCTACAAATAAATATTTTCTATTTCGATTAATAGATATAAATGTAGCAATCTGAATGAAAAGTAATACGTGCCTTTTTTATTTTTAGGCCATGATTTTCGTCGTGATTATTCACAACTTGTCATTATATTTCCTAATATTATTCTCTAATAAACCATCTTTTTATTAATTTAACGTCAATTAAGATTTAATTATTCAAAAATAAATGTAGCATTATTAACAGCAACAGTAACATTACGTGTACAACAAGATATTCTTCAACAACTTAATATAACTGGAAATTATAAATTATTTACACAATCATTTAATTGATCAAATCGTATTTAAGAATGTATATCAAAAGAAAGTAATGATCTAGTACTTAGTCAAATAGCAGATGTAATTAAAATCAATTATCAAAATCAATGTGGTACGTATTATTTATTGTTTTTCACGTGCTGGTTATGATCGAGTGGGTAATAGAAAAAACAAAAGACAAAACAAGAATTTAATATCTATTCTAGCTCAATATTTGTTAGCTGATAATATTCATGCACTTTCTTATCATGCTGATTTAAATGATTTATTACGACAAACAATAAATATAAGATAGATTAACCCTAGCACTACTAAGCCTACTGTGCCGGCCAAACGTAATCCCCTCGGATTTCAGCCACTATAAGGGATGGAGGCCTGGACATTTTCATGCACGTAAGGTGCGGGAAATTCGAAACGTTCACGCATTCTTGAATTTTTTCGAAACATACATCATTCGATAGAGCTCAATGAGTAGATTCCGAATATCTACTTGAAATTGAATTTTTATCAAGTTTTGGCTGAGAAATCTTGAAAATACTAAGGAGCAGTGAAAAAATGAACTTTTTACATTTTTGTAGAAAATTCAAGATTTTACGCTGAAATCTTGTTCGAAANTGGCGGTTTCTGACCCAGCTTCACAAAATGATATGGCTGCCGAGTTATAATACTTGATTGAAAGGGGTGTAAATTCACACCAGGAGAAAGGAGACAATTAATTGTACAAAAGACAAGCTGGCTTGGCGATTCCTTCCATCTGGACAATCGTAAAAACGATCTGAGTTTTTCGAGAATGGTACTTTAGAAAGTTGAACATGTTGGACCCTCACAATATTCTTTTGTCAAATTTTTTATACTTACAGTTGATATCAAACACCTTTATATAATTTTGTAGAGATTTTCGGAGCGCATATTTAGGTAATAAGTATAGCAAAATTGGTTGGGCCTGTATGTAGAAAATTTAAAAATACGAAACTACCCATTTCTTCTGGACCACCCGATACATTCTACTTTACATTTTAGTTCCATAGGAATTGCGCTAACCGCTTTTTGAACACTGAAAAGACTTATAATATTTCTCTTTGTTCATTCTATTGAAGATATTGAGTTCAGTTCAGGTAAAAAACATTGAAATCGTCGGAAACGTGTAGGTCGATAACATAATGTTTTAATTGGGCAATCCGAAGTTCTCTGCAAGTCTTCGTTATATATATTTCATTACAAGGCATGCGATTTAAATGCCCCTAGCTCAAAATCGATTTTGAGGAAAAGAAACCATTTTAGTATCAAGATTTAGAATACGTATATTATCTTGACTTACAAACAGTAGCTTCTGGATTTTTTTTAAATACATTTCGATATTCATCTTATTGCTAAACGGAAGGAATTACGTAAAACACCAAAAGTCAACTAAAAATGAAGAATGATTATTTCGAACTATAATTCTCTTCTGCAATACTTGAAATGCGTTATATGCTATCGATCAATAAATCTAATATTATTCCGACAGATACATTCCAATACTTTGTTTCCAATAAAGAAGCTGCCATGACTGACGAGGAACCATTCCATCGTGGATGTCTAAATTGTTTGATACATATTCATAAAATACTGCATTTAAATATCTGAGTACCGAGTCTACCACTAAACAGTACCCCATACCAAAAGGCAAGGGTATTTTTCCTACAAATAAATATTTTCTATTTCGATTAATAGATATAAAAGTATCAATCTGAATGAAAAATAATGCGTGCCTTTTTTATTTTTAGGCCATGATTTTCGTCGTGATTATTCACAACTTGGTATTTTATTTCCTAATATTATTCTCTAATAAACCATCTTTTTATTAATTTAAGGTCAATTAAAACTTAATTATCCAAAAATAAATATAACATTATTAACAGCAACAGCAACATTACGTGTACAACAAGATATTCTTCAGCAACTTAATATAACTGGAAATTATAAATTATTTACACAATCATTTAATCGATCAAATCTTATTTATGAATGTATATCAAAAGAAAGTAATGATCTAGCACTTAGTCAAATAGCAAATTTAATTAAAATAAGTTATCAAAATCAATGTGGTATTATTTATTGTTTTTCACGTGCTGATTGTGATCGAGCGGGTAATAAAAAAAAACAAAAGACAAAACAAGAATTTAATATCTATTCTAGCTCAATATTTATTAGCTCATAATATTCATGCACTTTCTTATCATGCTGGTTTAAATGATTCATTACGACAAACAATACATATGAGATGGATTAATGATGAATGTCAAGTAAAATATTTTAATCAATATAAATAATTTGAAAGAATTTTTATTTAAGGTTATTTGTGCAACAGTAGCATTTGGTATGGGTATTGATAAAAATAATGTTCGCTTTGTTATTCATTTTTCGATGCCACAATCAATTGAGGTTGAGTATATATATATATATTGGTTTGAATATGAAAGAAATATTTTCATTTTATTAGGGTTATTATCAAGAATCAGGTCGAGCTGGACGTGATGGTGAAATTGCTAATTGTCATCTTTTTTATTGTTATGAAGATTTTATTAAAATGAAACGACTTATATTATGTATGAAATAATTTATTAACTTCCCCTGTCAAAAATCTATTTTCGTTCTAAAACAATTGATCTCTTGATTTTTCAAAGTCTTCTGTATCAATATTTGATATCAGTTTTTTTTTCGAAAAGTGCAAAAAAATGAAGATAATAGTCTGGTAGAAATCGATACATTTTTCTCAAGAACTACATCAAAAATTCAAAGTCCGGCTATGCTAAGTTGTAGACCACAATTGACTCTTATCATTTTGAGAAAACCAGTAAACAAAGTTTGCAGTTAAAAATTAATTTGTTCTTATAGTAGAACGATAGAGGAAACACATCGATCATAGTCTACTATGCATTAATGAGTACTATCCAACCACATAAGAATCTCAAAATCACGATTTTTTGACAGAGGGACTTAATAAAAAAATTTTCTTTAAGATGATGATGAATCGAAATCTTCCATGCAAACAAAACAAGTTCGTATTAATAATATTAATCGTGTTTATGATTTTTGTCTTAATAATGTAACTTGTCGACGAACACAGTGCGTTAATTAATAAGAAAATTAAAAAAAATAATATTTTTCTCTCTCTATGGATTATTTTCCAAATAGGCTTTTAGAATACTTTGGTGAATTATTTCCATCATCTGAATGTAAACGTATAATATCAACTGAATGTGATAATTGTCGACAAGTTACATTATTAAGACAATAATCATAAACACGATTAATATTATTAATACGAACTTGTTTTGTTTGCATGGAAGATTTCGATTCATNAAACTTGATAAAAATTCAATTTCAAGTAGATATTCGGAATCTACTCATTGAGCTCTATCGAATGATGTATGTTTCGAAAAAATTCAAGAATGCGTGAACGTTTCGAATTTCCCGCACCTTACTACGCCAGAAATGTAAGTTAGCAGTACGAACCGCGCATTCATTACGTGGGATGTTGAAAAATTTAGAAGAAAAAAAACAATTTTTGCTCTAGCTCTGATACAATAGAAAAATCAATGTTGCTGTTTTTCTGTAGTAACACGGCTAATCCTTGATGTTTTTTCATAAAAAGCATGCCCGACTTATGCTGTTTCTTCAGCCAAAAGATGAGCTCATTAGCTCTAACATGGAGGACCTGGGATCCGTACGCACTGACGTGATGATCGTTAGTGTGCTATGTCTCTCTACCATGAGATCTATTTGTGAAACTTTCAGGAAACATTGCCCAACTATGGAGGACGCTGCTCTAAAAGTTCGATGTTGGCTCATTGAACTATCACTGAGTTACTGGTTTCTAAAGGGTATTAGATTGTTTTTCTGCACACTGATGGTTGCAGTACAGTGGACTCAATTCTTCAACGAGTTGGTGAACTTCAATGAAATTTGTATGGCAGATAGCTGAAACATAGTGCTACATAATGATGGATTGGCCAATCCAAAGGATCTTTCCTTTCCAGAGTTATGAACCTCAAAGAAAAAACTAGTACCGTCCATCGTAACTCTCTTTCCACTCAAGTAATTGGGGTGCGGCTGACGCCTCTGGCCTGCATGCCTGGTGATGTATGTATACACAAATTTTCAGACCTCCAGTCCTTACGGTGGCTAAAATCCGAGGTGGGTCAAAAATGACCCAGGTTGGTATTACTAGGGTTATTAATGATGAATGTCAAGTAAAATATTTTAATCAATATAAATAATTTGAAAGAATTTTTATTTAAGGTTATTTGTGCAACAGTAGCGTTGGGTATGGGTATTGATAAAAATAATGTTCGTTTTGTTATTCATTTTTCTATGCCACAATCAATTCAGGTTGAATATATAAATATTGATTTGAATATGAAAGAAATATTTTCATTTTATTAGGGTTATTACCAAGAATCAGGTCGAGTTGGACGTGATAGTGAAATTGCTAATTGTCATCTTTCTTTATTGTTATGAAGATTTTATTAAAATGAAGCGACTTATATTATGTATGACATAATTTATTAAGTTTCCCTGTCAAAAACCTAGTTTCGTCCTAGAACAATCAATATCTCGATTTTTCAAAGTCTTCTGTATCGATATTTAATATCAGTTTTTCTTCGAAAAGTGCAAAAAATAGAGATAATAGTCTGGTAAAAACCCATTCATTTTTCTCAAGAACTCGATCAAAAATTCAAAGTCTGGCTCTACTAAGCTGTAGACAACAATCTTCTCTTATCATTTTGAGAAAGACAGTAAACAAAGTTTGCAGTTGAAAATCAATTTTTTCGTTCAGTAAAATGATAGGGGCAACACATCGATCATAGTCTACTATGTATTAATGAGTACTATCCAACCACATAAGAATCTCAAAATCACGATTTTTGACAGAGGGAGAGGGTGAGACTTAATTAAAAACTTTTCTTTAAGATGATAATGAATCGAAATCTTCCATGCAAACAAAACAAGTTCGTATTAATAATATTCATCGTGTTTATAATTATTGTCTTAATAATGTAACCTATTGATGAACACAGTGCGTTAATTAATAAGAAAATAAAAAAAAAAATAATTTTTTTTCTCTATGGATTATTTTCAAAATAGGCTTTTAGAATACTTTGGTGAATTATTTCCCTCATCTGAATGTGGTAATTGTCGACCAGTATATAAAACATCATCTATTGATTGTACACGAATGTCAATTGAAATTCTAAAATTAGTTTCGGATTTAAATCAAACAAACTCAACATTACCTTATATTATTGATATATTACGTGGAGTTGATAATAAAACAATTCGAAATACTGGTCATTATTGTTTACGTGGATTTAATTCATGTCATCAATTAACTCGACTTGGTAAAGAAAACATATTTATAGATTATGTTTTCAGAATTGAATGTACTAGTAGCACAATTAAAACTGCCGTTCGAAAATGTTTGGGCAGTAGAGTTAAGTAATGTAATTCAATTGAGAATCTCAATTCATTCATTGTTAGTCATATGGTTAGCCGTATTTGGAATAGAGATGTGTGGGAATCAAGATTTTTGGTTTCAATCTAGAGAAAACTATTTCAGAATTGATTCGCACTAAGAAAAAAAAATATTCGTGTTCTGTGTTATTCAGTATATAAATACCAGCGTTTTTAGTTACCTTTCTTGAGTTTTACTCTAATGGATACGATTTATGAAAGAATTTACTTCAAACTATAAAACATTTGACTTTAATTTTTTTAGTTCTTCCAGTAGTAAAAGATGATTAAGGGCGAAAATTAGAAGCATTCCTAAACAAATTAATTATATTCATTTGGCTGAAAAATATTTTGTCGAAAGTATTTTTCTGGCTATCCTGGTCCGCAACAGTCTAGAACGTCTTGCGAAAAACATAGAACTCAATCATGCCAAACTCTTGATACTTTAGTACATTCTTATGATATTTTCTAGTTGCAATTAGAAATATTAATAGTATACTTGTAGAACTCAAGCGATTGAACAACAACTATTCGATGTAAGACATGTTTTGTTTTTTAATATTCTTCTATGATCATAGATCTTGAACGACTTATTTCTCATCTTATAATTGATGGTTATCTCAAACAAGAATGTATTGATAAACAACCATCTTTGATCATAGCTTATCTACGTCCGGGTGTTAATGCTGTTCAGTTAACTTCTTCAAATTCACAACAATCTGGAAATACAACAAAAATTCAAACTGAATGAACAATGCTTTATTGAATTAAAAAAAGAATTGAAAATTATTTTTGGTACTTCTTATTCAAATGTTATTTCCTAACAAACCATTAAAGAATTAGTTAAATTAATGCCGTCAATAATCAAAAACGCTGTTTTTTTCTTTACAACTATTTTGTAATTTTTAGTGGATCAACGGAGAAAATTATTAAAAATGTACATGAAATAACAGAAGAATTATATAAACAACATGATTTTAATCGTTTATTACGTATTTTACAACGCTTTGGAAGTCAACGTGATGAAATTAAACGAAAAGATTCAATACAAAATTCATCAGATACTGAACATGAAATTGATTTTTCTTTAGATTTTACTGATCGGTCAACGTATGACAAAAAGCGATCAATGGTATCCGTCATAACAACTACAATTACAAAACGAAAAAGAGGACATGGAGGTAGTTATAAAATATATATATATATAGCTTTTGTTGTTCTTGGACAGTGAGAATTTTTTAGTTACTTATTTATTATTATTTTGTACTTTATTGATATTGCTTTTTGTTGTACGATATTCCAAAAACCATTGACTTATAAATAAAATAACGAATTAATAACTCTCATTTAATGTAATTTAAATGTTGTTGTATTACTAGATCATTTAAAGTAAAAGACAATTAGAAATAATCAAGGAACTACCCATAAAGGCTACCCAAAAACGGATGGAGGAGAAGAAATTCAAACACATATGGATGTTAAAATACTTGTTACGAAACTTTGACATGAAATGAGTTTTAACAGCGCTTTTAAAGTATTCCATATAGGAATTGTAGCGTCTCATTTCTAAGTAAATGGAATATATCAATCTCAAAATGTGCATCTTATTTCGTTTTTTATTTGATATTTATTTATCGCAAAGGATCCGACACTAAAACTTCTGATGACTCATTATTTACGCAATTCTGACTATCCAAAAGCATTGAAATCTGCTTCAGTATAGCGAGGTCTGATTAGAATTATTGGAATTCGATAAAATTCAACAGAGTGTGCGTGATCTTGTTACGTATTTCATTTCTTCTTGTCATACGTCTAGTTATTGAACTGTGCTTCAATGGAAAAAAGTCAGTGCAATTAAACAAATATTTCCAAACAACGTTTCAACATCGGCTGTCCAAGGAACGTGAGGTATCGGCTAAAACTGGACAAGCTCGGAATGGGGGAGGAGTTTTTTGTGGATATGGGTGTGTGCATAGTTGGATGAAGAGAAATACTTAGATAGATTGAAACGCGAAAGGTTTTTCATTTTACGCCTCGTTTCGGTTGACAGTAAATCTTGTTTTGTTTATCTGCCTAGCTTTACTTCGAAAAAACCTATCCTTGCCATGCCTCGGCTTGATGAAAGTTCTCTTCGATTCAAAACCTCATTCTTAGTTGATGTTTCGTTCAGTCTCTAGTATTGATAGATATGTTTCGAGAAAAAAATATAATTGGAAAGTGCTAGCACAGATGTGAAGTGTAGATATCAGTGCGCATACGAGCCTGATGATGAGAAAGTGCAGAATGTGGGTGTGAGTGTGAAGTGTATGAGAAGAGAAAGCTACATTCCACATTTACCCACACCCAATCAATGCGAGCTGCAAAAAACAATGTTTGAATAAGATGCCGAACATTCTCAAGTCTTTGACAGTACAAGATTCCTGCCGGAAAGATGCTATATTGATCGTTCAGAGGACACCAGGACTTTATATTGTACTTTGCCTTTAAAGAAACTTATCTACTCTTATATAGGAAATTGAAACTTCATGTTGTTCGCTTTGTTTTGTTGGAAGAAGTAAGGTTCATTTCATGCTTGCTTATAATTATCACGAATGGTTTGTTTCTCGTAATATTTATATTCATGACCACGAGCTTTTATAAAGACTGTTGCATCGTGCTGAGATATTACAATGGGCGATGGTAGTAATGATCAGACAACCCAACATGGTGTGGGTGTGGGTGCAGATGTTAATCTTCCCTTCATTCATATCAACACTCACACTGTAAGCCTCTCGTTATGGTATGTCTTAGACTCTTGCCCCACTCTATGGTTTAGGCCAGAAGACAGTTATAATTAGATCCCGGTCTGCAACGGGAACGAGAAGTCATACGTAAAATAAAAGAAAACATTCTTACCGGTAATTGAGATGTTGCAAAGGGAAATTAGGGAGATAAAGAAAGATTTTATTTAGTGTTAATATAAACACTAATATAACAATGTAATATATTTANATCAATTGTTTTAGAACGAAAATAGATTTTTGACAGGGGGAGAGTGTGAGACTTAATTAAAATTTTTTCTTTAAGATGATGATGAATCGAAATCTTCCATGCAAACAAAACAAGTTCGTATTAATAATATTAATCGTGTTTATGATTATTGTCTTAATAATGTAACTTGTCGACGAACACAGTACGTTAATTAATAAGAAAATTTAAAAAAAAAAATTTTTTTTTCTCTATGGATTATTTTCCAAATAGGCTTTTAGAATACTTTGGTGAATTATTTCCATCATCTGAATGTAAACGTATAATATCAACTGAATGTGATAATTGTCGACAAGTATATAAAACATCATCTATTGATTGTACACGATTGTCAATTGAAATTCTAAAATTAGTATCGGATTTAAATCAAATAAACTCAACATTACCTTATATTATTGATATATTACGTGGAGTTGATAATAAAACAATTCGAGATGCTGGTCATCATCGTTTACGTGCATTTAATTCATGTCATCAATTAACTCGACTTGGTACAGAAAACATATTTATAGATTTTGTTTTTAGAATTGGATGTACTAGTATCACAATTAAAGCTGCCATTTGAGAATGTTTGGGTAGTAGAGTTAAGTAATGTAATCTAATTGGGAATCTCAATTCATTGATTGTTAGTCATATGATTAGACGTATTTGGAATAGAGACCTGTTGGAACCAAGATTTTTGGTTCCAATCTACAGAAAACTATTTCAGAATTGATTCGCATTAATTAAAAAAATACTCGTGTTATGTGCTATTCAGTAAATGAGTGCCAGTGTTTTTAAATTACTTTTCTTGAGTTTTACTTTAATGGGTACGATTTATGAGAGAATTTACTTCAAAACTATAAAACATTTGACTCTAACTTTTAGTTTTTCCAATAGTAAAAGATGATTAAGGACGAAAATCAGAAGCATTTCTAAATAAATAAATTATATTCATTTGCCTGAAAAATATTTCGGTCGAAAGTATTTTTCCGGCTATTCTGGCTCGCAACAGTCTAGAACGTCTTGCGAAAAACATAGAATTCAATTATGCCAAACTCTTGATACTTTAGTCTATCCTTATGATATTTTCTGGTTGCAATTAGAAATATCAATAGTATGCTTGTAGAACTCAAGCGATTGAACAACAACTATTCGATGTTAGACATATTTTATTTTTTAATATTCTTCTATGATCATAGATCTTGAACGACTTATTTCTCGTCTTATAATTGATGGTTATCTCAAACAAGAATTCATTGATCAACAACCATCTTTAAATATAGCTTATCTACGTCCGGGTATTAATGCTGTTCAATTAACTTCTTCAAATTCACAACGATCTGGAAATACAACAAAAATTCAAATTGAATTAACAATTCGAATCGAACAAATGAATAATACTAATAATAATACAGATGAAGAAAGATCAAATTCGAAGCAAAAATCAATTGAACAAATTAATGAACAATGCTTTACTGAACTAAAAAAAGAATTGAAAATTATTTTTGGTACTTCTTCTTATTCAAATGTTATTTCAGAACGAACAATTAAAGAATTAGTTAAATTCATGCCGTAAATAATCTAAAATGGTTTTTTTTTCTTTACAACCATTTTGTAATTTTTAGTCGATCAAAAGAGAAAATGATTAAAAATGTACATGAAGTAACAGAAGAATTATATAAACAACATGATTTTAATCGTTTATTACGTATTTTACAACGCTTTGGAAGTCAACGTGATGAAATTAAACGAAAAGATTTAATACAAAATTCATCAGATAGTGAACATGAAATTGATTTTTCTTTAGATTTTACTGATCGGTCAACCTATGACAAAAAGCGACCAATGGCATCTGTCATAACAACTACAATTACAAAACGAAAAAGAGGACATGGAGGTAGTTTTTAAGTATATATATGTTTTTTTGTTTTTTTTTGTACAGTGAGAATGTTTTATTTACTTATTTATTATTATTTTGTACTTTGCTGACATTGTTTTTTGTTGTATGATATTCTAAAACCATTGATTTACAAATAAAATAACGGATTAATAACTCTCATTTAATGTAACTTAAATGTTGTTGTATTACTAGATCATTTGAAGTAAAAGACAATTAGAACTGATAGTTAAGGAGCTACCTATAAAGGACACCCAAAAACGGATGGAGAGGAGAAGAAATTCTAAAATATATAGATGTTCAAACGCTTGCTACGAAAGTTTGACATGAAATGAGTTGTAATAGCGCTTTTAAAGCATTTCATATAGAAATTGTAGTGTCTCATTTCTAAATAAATGGGAAATATCAATCCCAAAATGTATAACGTATTTTGTTTTTATTTGATATTTATTGATCAAAAAGGATCCGACACTAAAAATTCTGATAACTCATTATTCACGCAATTCTGACTATGTAAAAGCATCGAAATCTGCTTATAAGTATGGCTAGGTCTGATTAGAATTATTGGAATTCGATAAAATTCAACAGTGTGTGCGTGATTTGGTTACGTCTTTCATTTCTTCTTCTCATATGCCTAGTTATTAAACTGTGCTTCACTGGAAAAAAGTCAATGCAATTAAACAAATATTTCCAAAAAGTGTTTCAACATCGATTGTCCAAGGAAAGCGAGGTATCGGCTAAAATTGGACAAGCTCGGAATGGGGTAAGAATTTTTTTGTGGATATGGGTGTGTGCATAGATGAAGGAAGAGAAATACTTAGATAGATCGAAACGAGAAAGGTTTTTCATTTTACGCCTCGTTTCGCTTCGAAAAAAAACTATCGTTGCCATGCCTCGACTCGATGAAAGTTCTTTTCTATTCAAAACTTCGTTCTTAGTTGACGTTTCGTTCAGTCTCTAGTCTTAATAGATATGTACCGAGAAAAAAATACAATTGGAAAGTGCTAGCACAGATGTGGAGTGTAGAATGCCAGTGTGTATATGAGCCTGATGAGGAGAAAGTGTACTCATGCATAGATGCACACCCACACTCCACACTCCATACTGCAGACTAGACAAAAAAATAGGTTTTGCATCAAAGCTAGAATACTCTATTCCATTCTTCCTCTGTTTAAGATTGTAACAGTTCGGGTATTGCAGTGGATATGTGCGGGTGTGGAACAGAGATGTGCACCGCTCCCAAAAATCGACCAGCGGCGGCGGAAAATATGATTTAAACTTTCAAATAGTGGTGGGCGGTACGGACCGATTCGTAAGCCTTTTTACCGAGTGGAACGGCCTCACCATGCTTCGTTCAAAAGGTCGTACAGTGCGACGGTTCCGCCGAGCGACCGTTCGGGACTTACTGAAGTTGTTTACTATGATTTGCTTCGTAGGTTTATTGCAACATTTTTTTAATGAATGCTGCGTAATCTATTGATTCCGTAAGCTCTTTTCAATGTAATTCAGTAAGTCTAGAAATAGATCGATGTGATAGGAAAAGTTATTAGAAAATAACGCAACAGTAGCATAGAAGATAATAGCTTTTACAGAATAATGATCATGATGGAGATTACTGTAGGTAATTTTATTGGATAAGGGTGGAGACAACATGAATACCATAAAAAAAGATGATAATTAAACTATGCTACATTTGAGAGAAGAAATTATCAAATAGATTTTCTCTGTCGACTTTTATATTTCTTGTTTATTAGAAATAGTAATTTTTGTCTCAGAAAATCATACACTTGTAGTGATTTATACAAATATAAAAAAAAGGAAAACCAAAAAGACACCCTAAAATGAAAAGTTATAATGGAAAAAGAAAAAGTTGAAGTCAACAATCTATCTATGTAGTATTTGTAACCAAAGGAGTAACAAAAAAATGTATACATGGTGCCATAGAACGCCTAGTATGATACAAAAATATTTTGAAAATCAAAATCCACCTGGCGTAGAATTGAAAAATGATATTTGTATCAAATATGAGTATGAAATCAATGCTCCGTTATTTATCATTTTTATTTAAGAGAAAAAGGTCACCAATATTGCTGTACAATATTAATCGCGTCTTAGGTTTGTCGCTTTCAACTTCAGAAGATGTTTCCTCACAAAATCGTCAAATTAAGATTATGCGGCCGCTCGGGCGGTCGCTCCGCACCAGTTCCGCTCGCAAATTTTGGAAGCGGTGCGGTCGCATCCATATAAGTCATACTTCTCATAACGGGATGGACGGACTGCGCGAGCGGTGCACATCTCTGGTGTGGAGAGAATTTAAAAGTCAACGACATTCACAACTACACGTACATCTTAATGTTTGAAGATCTCTGCCGGTTAAATAAAACGCGATTTTGACGGAGGCACAATTTTGAGCAGTGCAAACGTCGATGATTCGTATTGACCTACTTGCGTTTAAGTTCCTGAATTGAACAAAAGAGCGACGAGCAGGATCTTGAAGGATAATAATCAACGAAGAACAAAACGAACCATTCGTTGTGCAGTTGAGGCGCATCTCTCATCCAGTGAATCAACAAGTGGCGTTGGGCTGACTATCCTCAGCCTTGAGAATGGACAACTTCTCGTTAACATGGGATGGCTGCTTCGATTTATACTGAACCCATTCGACGTTTTTTGCTGAATTGCACGGGTGATATAATCTGGAACGAGGAACTGAGATATGGACGTTTGTGCCATTCGGAGTCGATTTCTCCAATTGTACTTGTTACTTATAGAGCATTCAACAAGGCGAGACGTCATCCATCAAAACAGAAAGAGGTACAGACAGCGTTACCCCCAACGTAAACAATCAAGAAGTTCATAATAAAAGGCAAGTGAGCAAGTTGTGCTCACTCGTCTGACGATTATTGCTCAATGGTTAGAAGAAAGTTGGAGTACGATCAAATATTTTTACGGACTGATCGAAGTCATTCGATTTATCATGTTACTATATGAACAACCTAAAACCACATAACGAATTTCTTCTCAGCGACTGGATCTTCGATTTGATCTGCTCGAGAATTATCCGTGTAAAATAGATTCACTCAGTACGTTCACTCGAATGAAAAAATAATCAACATTGTTCTCTAAAGAAAACAATACGTCGGGTTTGTTTTTCCTCTAGAAAGGATAATGAAACATAAGTGAGTTCTTTTCGAAGGCGGTGGCTGAGCACTGCTCTCCTTTCTTTCAACAGTTCATTTCTGAGCTGGATTGTATCGAGAATAAACAACGGATAAAACCATCTGTCCGTTAAGTTGAATAGCGGGGCCATTCGGTGGTATCCCTTCATTAACAAATCCTAGTCTTTCTGGAATGGCTCGAGACTTGAGATTTTTGACACCGCAATGAATTTTTACTTGTGATACAATTCAAACTTCGAAAGCAAATTGAAGCAAGTCTTTCACTACCACGGTCGTTAATCCATGACCTTGATGAGATTTAGAGAGCCAATATCGGCACACATCGAATTCTCAACTCATGTCAAACGGCATCAACCGACCAGTCTCATCTAGCCAGAGACCGAATTGTAGCGAATTCCTCTTTGGCGTCCTTCATCCTTGTTGAAGATCTTCTCGAGTTTGAATCGAATCAATGACTGGGACGTGTTCACGAAGATAGTCTCGACTCAACTGAAACAATTCGTACAGTTGCGGATGTGGGTGCAAATCTTAGCTTCAAATCCACACCCACGTCCACACCCAAACCCACACGAAATCCACAACATCACCTAGTCAGCTCAGTTTCAAGACCTAGAAATCTTATTGGTTACGAACCACGGCAAAAACAAGCATCCCATTCGTCCAATTTCGAACCCTCCAAATTTGATTGGCTACCAACCAGAATGAAACAACATCCCATGGACCAATTTCGAACCGTCCAAAATCTGATTGACTACGAATCAGGACAGAAACATCCCATTGGCTTGACTATAATTATGGAGAGACCATTCTTATTCATGGTGCTCGTTATATTCCATGGAACATGCATCGTATCAAAGGTCAAAGAAACATATTTTCCGTTCTGTGTCACCGAAAGACCATACTCACGAACGAATGAAGGTAACTCCCTCCGCGTATGACCCTCCTTTCAGTCGAGGGAACATTTTTTTCAAGACATTATTTTTATATTTTATTTTATTTCCAAATTTGGATATCATAATGCATTTAGAATACGCAGATGTTAGAGAGTTAGATAGACTGTTCAAATTGAATGTAGAGCATTCCAGTAGATGAGAAAAACACCGACTTAGACAACGCTCGAATCCATTTGATGATAAGCTCCGCCATTGATTTCTTTTGTTTTAGTATCATTGCTTGAAACTTTAACGGTACTTGGAGCGATCTTAGTACTTGACTTGGATGTCAGGTTTAGCAATGATCTTCTCAAGGTTGACTTAGTAGTTTTTAGCGGCTTTATAATCATGATGGGAACCATCGCGATTTCCGCTAGCTGTGGTAATCTAGTTTTAAAATGAAAACCATCCATGTAAAAGCAAATAGGCAAAAATCAACGTTTTGGTACTTTTGGAAAGTTTCTTGAATAAGAAAATCATTATTATAAGTGAACCTTTTAAAGTACTGTTATAATTTTTATAAAGTATAACAGACACTTTAAAAGATTCCCTTATAAGAATTATTTTCTCATTAAAGAAACCTTCTAGAAATACTAAAAAGTTGGTGTGTCCCTACTTTTGTCGTAAATGGTCCCGTGTTTCAAGAAAAGCCCTCGTGGTCTCTTCATTGTTGCAAACATGCGAATCACAAACGTAAACGACATAGTGTTCTGGTCCATAGGTTATGTAAACCGAGATTTCATTATTGTTATGATTATTCGGAAATAGGAGCTAGATATTTGGTAATATACGATCATAATGTGATTATGATAGAGATACGTTATAATTGGACGAGTCTTTGCTCGTCAATACCTTGTCCGGCACTAACAAAGAAGAAATTTATATTATACTCAAATCTAG